ACCCTTTTTGGCCCCGCCCCTCAGGCCCCTGGGGGCGTAGGACTAAACCGGCAACTATTTGTGTTGACCTTTGTCCATGGAAGGTCCCTGCAAAATTTCATTGCAATTGGTTCAGGGGTTTTAGAGAAGAAGATTTTTGAAATTTTAGTCAATTTGACCCCTTTTGGCCCCGCCCCTCAGGCCCCTGGGGGCGTAGGACTAAACCGGCAACTATTTTTGTTGACCTTTGTCCATGGAAGGTCCCTGCAAAATTTCATTGAAATTGGTTCAGGGGTTTTGGAGAAGAAGTCGAAAATGTAAATTGTTTACGGACGCACNCGGACGCACGACGGACGACGGACGACGGACGACGGACGCGGACGGACAAAAGGCGATCGCAATAGGTCACCTGAGACTTTGTCTCAGGTGACCTAAAAATTGGGTGTTTCCTAGGATTGTTATGATCCACGTACCACTGCCAAAAACAGTAAATATTAGTAAGTGCCTTTTTAACCAGCATAATAAAAACCTTTTTATTAAAAGAAAAAAACCCGTTTGTATAGTATAACAGAAAATAGGGCCAGTCCGTTGTTCGAACCAAGGACCTCCGATTACAATACGGTTGCTCCAACCAACTGAGCTACTTGTTGACTGGTGGTGCCCTGGCCCGGTCCTACATCCGAAACGGAATTAAAAGGAGTTACTGTACGTATGGAAAATATAATTATCTTTTTTTCCTGCGTGGGTAAGGAGATTCTTAAAAGAAGACATCACACTGGGCACCACACGTGGTACAAAATGCGCTCACCTTTCTAGAGCACCCTTATTTGACTTTGTATGGGAAGGGGGAGGGAGAAGGGGTTATGATGCCTTTCCTATTGTTTTGGTCTTCCTAGGCTTCTATTGTCTCGAAAATAAGTCCCATTTCTGTTGTTGTGAGTATATTTTAATGTATTTCTAATTGCTAAGATAGAAATATGCCGGACACGAATGATACGAAGAAACGATGTCCCGATTGATAAGTTGATGACAACAGATTCATTCAATCTCTTCACTATGATTATAACTGCAGTCAGCAATGGGTCTGAAATTTCTATATTTTATTTACATTCATATACAGTTTATGATTTATTTATTTTTTGTATACATTCATGATCTATACAATCTATATATAGATATTTTCGCGATAATTTACTCAACGCAAAAAAGCGAGGATTTCCACACCGCGATAATTTCCACTTGTACAGTACATCGTTATTGAAAACAATCATACAAACAAACGAGAACAGGCAAATATGAAAAATATCAGTTTAGTACATTTGTATACGCTCTGCTTCATTTCTTGATAATTCTGGCACTGAAGGGTTTCAACACATCCTCAGTGAATTAATTCAATCAATAATCTTATGAATATATAATGTACAGTCTATCGTCATAAAAACTGATACATGCGATAAATTTCACTACAGTACCGATAGCCTGCCACTATAAACTGACACATTAATGTTTCCAACCCATCACAGAGCTTACAATAGAAACGAGTGTTCATTCTACCATAATGCTAAGCTATTACAAGGTATCATCACAACTTACCATGCTAATAACATGGAGATACTTTTTCACGCTATATCATTTCTATTATGGACTAACATTACAAATCTCATTGAACTCATTTAACAAAATATAATCATCAGAATGACTTGCTATTTTGGCGACTTTAGCGTTGACTAGGTGAATCTACGAATTCAATACAACAGTGAACGTTGTTAGACATGCAACACAACACACTATATAAACTTTAAACCGCAAATTCAGCTTTGTGCAGGCATTTTTGTTTTGTTTTGCTTATACGACCAAATACAGAAATAGTGTACCTTTTTTCTATTTAAAAATATTTCCTACTTTCCAATCGTGAACTTTCTCCTTCGTGGTAGAAACACCCTTGTATCTCCTACCTACGGTGTTTAAATGTCACAGTAGATTTGGTATTCAAGAGCTTGAAGGAAGATTTCAGCTGTCTGATCGTGAACTTTCTCTTTCTTAATAGTAACACCCCTGTATCCCCTGCGTACGATGTTTACAAGTCACAGTTGATTCGGTTTTCAAAAGCTTGTTCAGAATATCCTGACTTCCGTGATAGATGTCGAATACTGAAAGACAGACTTACAACACATGGTTTTCAAAGATGTTGGTTATTGAGGAGATTTATGGTCAGCTTGATCTCATAAGGAAATATGATATCTATTTGTGACATTATCAAGAAAAGTTAATTCCAAAGCTTATAACAGAAACTGGCGAAGAAATAACAGATAAACAAGCCATTTTAGGAGAACAGAAAAAATTCTATCAGACACTCTATACTAGCTCATACACAAATGAAAATGTAGCAAATGACTTCTTTTTTGATAATGACAATCCCTTTATAAATAACCTGTCCCTGGAACAAAGTAACCAGTTAGAAGGAAAAATACATTACCAGGAATGTCTTAAATCCCTAAAAAATATGAACAATAATAAATCTCCTGGAATACATGGATTTACTGTAGAGTTTTTTTGGACAGATATCAATAGGTTTTTAATTAATTCACTTAATCAAGCATATGACGAGGGACTTCTATCTATAACACAACGTCAAGGTATGATTGCATGTATTCCGAAAGAAGGTAAATCTAAATTATATGTAAAAAATTGGAGGCCTATTACCTTACTTCATGTTGACTACAAAATTGTTTCTTCAGTTATTTCAAATAGAATTAAAACAGTTTTAAACAGTATAATAAGTGAAACACAAAAAGGCTTCCTTAAAGGAAGATATATTGGAGAATGCACTAGACTAACTTATGATTTAATAGAAAATATTGAAAAAGAAAATATCCCTGGATTATTGTTACTTATAGATTTTGAGAAAGCCTTCGACTCTCTAGAATTTAATTTTATCTTTAAAACGCTTTCCTTTTACGGCTTTGGTCCTTCTCTTTTACAATGGATAAAAACTTTCTATAATGAGAATTCATGTTGTGTAATAAACAATGGACACTGCTCCAATTTTTTTAATGTATGCCGTGGAGTTAGACAAGGCGACCCTATTAGTCCATATATCTTCATCCTATGTGTAGAAATGTTAAGTTCAGCAATAAAAGTAAATCCTAATATTAAGGGTATTAAAGTAAATAATTCAGAATACCTAATAAATCAATTTGCAGATGACACTTCCTTTACTTTATCTGATGATCCATATTCCTTAAATTCTGTTCTTGAAATTTTAGATGATTTTGGTAATGTTTCTGGTCTTAAGATAAATATTGAAAAAACACAGGCAATTTGGATTGGGGCAAAACGGGGTTGTGGAGAGGAAATACTTCCAGATAGGAATTTGAATTGGAATCACCAAGGAAATTTTAAATTATTAGGTATCTCTTATAACTTTCAATTGGAAAATATTTTGGAAGATAATTTCAGACAAAAGTTAGTCACTGTCAAAAAGCTACTAAATGATTGGTCATTTAGAAACCTTACATATATTGGCAAAGTAACTGTTATAAAAACTTTAGCTCTGCCCATTTTTATTCAAACATTTACTGTCTTACCAGACCCACCCTTAGAAATGGTCAAAGAGCTACAGAAATATTTCTTTGAATTTTTATGGAACGAAAAGGTAGACAAAGTAAAACGTACAGTTATGTATGGGGATTATAATGAGGGAGGTTTACGTGTACCACACATTATATCTTTTTGTCATGCCTTAAAAATGTGCTGGATTAAAAAAATATTGGATCCATTAAATACTTCACCTTGGAAGACACTGATATTAGATAAAATTGAACCATATGGGGGAGATAAAGTTTTTAAAATGAAAA